TGAGCACTATACCTGCCCAGCACCAAACACCAGACAGACACAGTAATTCTAAGCTGGTGAACATAGTGAAACTATTAGCAGCTAAAGAGACAGATATTTCCCTTAGGAATTGGGGGAGACCAAAAACACAGGAGATTGGATGTTGGACTTAATTTTATCAGATTGACTGTACTCCAAATGAATGCTAATGCCCAAATTAGCTGAATTGTCCTTAAAAATAATATTTCTAGGTCTTACCTCATGCAGTAGACATCTGAATAATTTACTTTTGCATGAAATCTCAAGTGTTTTTTAAAACACCAGAGAAATCAATATTGTTTGTGTAATATTCTTTGTAAATTACTGCAAATTCAACGTACATGAAAATAGTTTTTAATCAGATGGATTTTCATGTGTCCTCTGTAGTATTCTGTTATGGTATTTGTTCAGATACGTCCAGTGAGTTAAGGGGGATTTCTTTTTTTGTTTCGTCACAGCTGGGCAGTCTGAATGAACAAGGCTATCCATGACGCAGACAGAACAGGCTGTGGAGGATGATGAATGGGGCTGTTGGGGGAATGCTACAGTTCAGCCACACTCTCTATAGTCTCTCTCACTACACAAGGCAAGGAAAGAGGCACTAATGCAAAGTTAACTGAGTTTAACACTCTCCCTATCTCTGAGCATAATTTAATCCACCTTCTAATTGCTTCTTCAGAGGCTGGCCAGTATAAATTGGATTATCCTCTGAGGAACCTGCTCTGTTCCTCATCAAGCCAGCTTTCTTTGTTCAATACATGACACGTTTGGAAACAGCGTACAGTCAGTGTGTGTGTTCTGTATCCGAGAGATGCTCAAGGGAGAGACGGCTTCATCCAAAACAGAGATCAGACTTGACAGTGTAGACATTGTTATCTCACAAGTTATCAGCATTAAAGCCACATTCTAACAACAAAAGTACTGTCTAATTCCATGTTTTACAGCACTGTGCACTGGCCCACACTTTTCAGTCAAAACAGAACAAAGATTTGACTCCAACGTTGTTGATATTTCTCCATTAAAAGCCAATAAAATAAAAACTAATAATTTGTCCGTATAGTAATATGTATCTATGCACAAACGGAACAAGAGAGTCTGTTAAATGTAATAGCTGAGGTCCGGCAGCAAACCAGAGTGAACGAGGTGCCAGTTAAAGCCTTGTGAAATGTTTAGCTGGCTGCAGGCCTCTTTTCATCAGCCTAGCGAAATCACGCTGACGCCACAGTTACCCAAAGCTTGAAAAAGGGGAAAATCTCCCCACCTGGGCACTGTCGCACTGATGGAGCCCATCCTGATTTATTCACCACTGATACACATACAAGTGCCGGCACACACACAAACAGGCATGTATGCACCTACATCCACACTCACACAAAAACACACTGGCTCAAACCCGGACTATAGCTATCTGTCCAATTGAGTTTGCAGGTCCAGTAGCACAACATAATGAGGTTTTCACACTGAGACACTCCAGCTAGAGAGAGCGGCGGGGGAGGACGATGTGAGTGGGAGTCGGTGGGTGTGACACGGAGAGAGAAGGGGAAGGAAAGAGAAAGGCACTCGATGATAATGTATGAGCTGTCGGCAGTGCTCTATGGTGGGGGAAAAGAGTGCGGTGGTGCATTTACAAAGAAGATTATCATGTCAAGATACAGCAATAGCTCGGTGAACATAGATTTTCATTGGGTGTTGGTGCTCTGCTCCTGTCTGTCTGGGTGTGAATACCCAGAGTGGCTAATCAGGAGAGAAGGATGTGTGTTGGCTAGAGGTCGTCTCGTGAACTGACCAAGTTGGGCTGAAACAAGAACCAACCACTGATGATTTCCTCTGGGTTCTATACAGCTATACTGTCTCTTAGAATGCCATCATGGGCCATCATGGGCCCTCTGACAGGCGATGCAATCATTACGAGAATTCATATGTGACTTAAATAACTCTGTTCTGAACACAGCAGCAGTTAGTGTGAAGGAGAAAAAGGGTGTACGGACTTTAGTCGTCAATCTGACTTCTCAAGATCCGTCACACAAACAACAGAAACGCAGCCTGTTTTTAGAAATTAAGTTTCATTGCAGGAACACGTTTTACATTTTTTAGAGGGTCTACTGTATGCCACCTATTGATTTCAGTTTTAGTCATTACTTACTGACTATTGAACCTTAGCATGGCTGCCTGCTTCCTCATGAGAGTTCATCAACACTATAGCCCAGAGCCAATATTGCTATGTGGTCAATTTGTCAGTTGACTAAGCACAGCTTGAATATGTCAACTAAAACAAACCTCTGCAGGCCTACAGCCTATAGCCTTTCAACATAAATGCACAACACCTCTTTAGGAAATAACAATAAGAATTCTTGGGAAATAACAGAACGCAAATAAGTTAGTAATGTTATTTTTTATTTAATCTTCAACCTTAATCTATTCTATTCACATGCATTCTGTTAATTTCAAGCTAGTTTAATTTCTAATGTAAATCTATTCTTATATATAAACGCTAATTTGTTGGTTTTTTCCTGCAGAGACATCTTTTGTTTAATTTTTCCTTAATATTTACTCATGTCAAATTGTGTCCATATTTGTTCTGTTTCCTGTGCTTTTAAACTCATTCCAACCATTTTGATTTCTCTGATAGCTTACAGTGAACCCAAATGCACTGATTTCTAAAAAGCGGATAAAGTCAGAGCCATAAAGAAATACAAGAGGAGAAACCTTTCTCTCAGAGTCTAGAAACGTATGACTAGTGTGAGTGCATTTATGTTAGGTGTATGCTCTTGCACATATAGAGAACTGTCTGTACATGTCCCTATTTTCCTGTGTGCTTAACAAGCTGCCAGGAGCAGCAGTGCCGGGCTGAGCTGCAGTTTTAGCAGTGTGGTCACAGTTTGAACTGTAGTTCATGTGATGCTGTCTGGCCCAGAAAACACATTACTAACAATCTGAATAAAACTGCCACATACTGTATATGAACAAATAAAGAATCTTAGAATTATTACAATCTGATCAGTTATACAATGGTAAAAGAAGTACTCATATATTTTACTTGAGTAAAAGTAACAATACTGCAGTCTAAAGTCCTGCATAAAATATATATCTTCATTCTCATGAATAAATGCGAGCAAAACAACGTTTTTACAAATTTAAAGTAATACTGGGTGAGTAGAGTCTGAAATTACCTCCACTGGAGTTTTTTATGTTCATTCTATGTCTATCTTCCTTTATTGTAAAGCACTTTGTGCTGCATTTCTTGTATGAAAGGTGCTACACAAATAAATTGTCGTCATTATTACAGGCATGTCTCAGAGTACCTCTACCGGGGAAATGCATTCTGAACCATAGGTAATTTTGTGTCGTACTGGCTGGCATGCTACATCCAGCTCTCTTAATAAATCAGCAACATAAACACTGGGTGGAATGAATCTTGGAACTTGTATCATCATACATCATCATACATCCATGGGGGGGCTGCTATAATACTATACTGGCATCTTCGGCATTTACTGTCTATTCCTGAATGAGGTAACACAGTGGTGATTGAGTCCACGGCCCACAGATGAAACTCTTTGGAGCATTATGAATAGTGTGTCTGTGGCGTCATTCCCGTGGAAAATCACAAGCTGCGCTCTCTCGGACAACCTGGTCTCACAGAAATACGTGAAATGACCACGGCCTCCTAACGGCGCATAGCGTGGTTGCCTTTTTGTCTGCAATATTCACTGATATTATTGATCATTTTTTTGTCGATCATATGTATTGGTTATATGAAAGAGAATGTTCACAGTTTACATTGGTTTTACAGAATTGAGACATGTCAATGAAGACTGTCAAGAATATTATATGATCTCACCAAATACATCTGAGCTGAGAATGCTGCACCCACACAAGGCAGCTTGGTTACAACCTGTTTGTTTGAAGGGAATACCCATGCAGTTTATCATTATCTTTATCTTATAAAGGTCTTCACATTTTATAATATAACAGAAACACTGCTCTTCACAGGAGACAGACACGGTTATCCAAGTGTTAACAGTTTAATAATGCAATTGTGCCAAGGGTGAAAAGAGGTAATAATCATTTGACCAAGATTAAAGTTTGTCTTACAGCCAGTCTTACTCTGTGTTGGTTGTTAAAGAAGCTAATTAAACCCTCATGAAAGCCTCCCCTCGGGAGCCAGAAAGATTAAATACCCTCATGTGTATTCCCTCTCCAACTACCGCACAACAGAAATGGAGCAACGATTAAACAGCATGCACAGTTTGCAATGTGTTAAAAGTGATTCAGCTGGGTGTGTTTTCAGATGCTATATTAAGTCATGAATTAATCTCAATGGTGTAATTAACGTTGGGATGTGTAATAATAATGCTGCTGGAGATTTATTGAAAGCCTCAGTTTGTTTACATAGCTCACCTAATCAATATAGTTGAAGTTTAGTGTGGCGATAAAGTCACTGCTTCTCTGAGCATTTTCAATTTAAAAATTGCAATTATAGTGTAGTGAAAGAGCAATTGGTGCTCTCGTTGTTAATCCCTTCATGTCCGGTTTCAAATAATCACACAGGACATGTGTGTGCGTATGTATCCAGTGTAAAGCGTAATCCATGACTGCCTCTCTTTTAAATAATCATTAATTAATACATAAATGATCTTAAAACATGGCAAGTCTCTTTTTTCCCCCAAATCCACCTTGTGCATGTCATGTGCATGTACCATTTTGTGAATTAATAGTCTGTCTGAACATTGTCAGCGTCTGTGATGTGCACATCTGTGTATTCAGGTCCCTGCTCTTTGACATGTGTTTTAAGACACGCACGCACAAGCACACACACACACACACACACACACACACAGACACACACACACACACACACACAGACACACACACATTCCGGCAGCTTCCTCTTCGCCTGGCTGCAATTTGTAAGCCCTGAGCTCCAGCCAAGCTCCTGTTGCTGAGGGGAAACCAGCTGCACACTCATCCAATCCTCCTGCCAGTTCTCCTGCTAATGGAACAGCCCACTGCCACCTATGCACCCCTGCCATCGGAAAACATTTGGTACATCCTATTGGTGCTTCTGTAGCTGGTTTGGCACAGGCTCAGTAATATCACAGCAGTTAGCCAAACGGCAGCCTGAGCGTATACACACACAGCAAGAGTGAGGACGCAAAGAGAGAGTTGCAAGAGAGAAGCAAAGAAATCCTCGGCTAACTCTAGAGTCTCTCAGTTTCCTGGTTGTTTTGAGATCCCTGATATGACCCTGTTCAGCCCAAGATGTGAGTATACAAGTGTTTATCTGTGTGTGTGTGTGTTTATATGCATGTATTAGTGGATGTTTGCATGCAGCACTGTGTCTGAAAGACAATATTTTCCACTGTGACTCTCATTGTTTGCCCTACCCTCACATCTTCTGCCTTCCCCCCTACAAGCCCCTCTGTTCATAGAGTCAGCCTGTTTGCTAGTCTGAATCCCAGGTTCATTTTCACTTTTGCCCCAGAGCTGTTTTGTCTTTCTTTGTCCGTACCCACACATTGACCCAATGAGATGGTGGTTTTGAAAAGGATCTGTGGAATGTTTTTAGGTTATGATGTAAACATTGTGATGCACGAAGAGGTGTTTCTGACAACTTAATTATACGTTCAAATCAACCTGTCTCTCTCATTGACAAGGTCAGCATTTGCTCTCTGGGTAAGAAGGCTTGTGAAACAGAAACGTTATGTCTGATGATGGACTAAAGCACGCCTTTTTTCCCAGCTGTTGAATATGAATAGTGCATCTCTTTTGTAAACTCATCTGAGCTGAAAAATCTCCTCACAACTTCCACACTAGTTCAGAGACAGCCCTTTGCTCACAAAGCTGCATTTCTCTCTAGTGAAGTGTATAGCTGAAAGACTCTACAGTGAAAGTGGAACTCATAGGCTGTCTCTCTGTGGTTTGCCGTAATGTGGGATCTTTTCAGGGTCTGTAACTCAGTTCATGTACAGTCACTGTTCATTCACCTCCGTTTTTGCTGCTGTTAGACACTTTTCTGGCTCACACCAACACCTCTGGTCTCAACATGCCATCTATTCATATCAACCTTTCATATCTTTTCTATCTGCTTTGCTTTATTTATCTGTGCGTTGTGCTCCCAAGTTTTATGTTGACAGTTACGCCTGAAGTTACTGTGCATTTAGCCCTGAGAGCCAAAACTAAAACTTGCCGCTTGGCTCCAAGCCTGACCTGAGGTCATTTGCAGTGCATGACACGGAGAGGAAGCAGCATGACAGCAAGAAGCATGCACGCTGCACTTTTACATCCTTATTTGACAAACTACCTTTACATGTAGGGTGCCAGACTGTGGCCTGATTAATAAACTTTCAGGAAAGAGAGGACTAAAAAGCTATGAGTGTATTCAGATGAAAATAAGCAAAGACAGCCTCTTTTCTGATCTATAAAATGATTTTAACATCAGCTAAATGTATAGCAGGTTGCAAATATAAAGTGTGACAACAGAGCATATAGAGATTATCTATTTCATTGGAAGTTCAGGGGAAAATAAAAGTGGAACAACCATTGTCATATTTGAAGAATGGAACAAACTCAGGTGGAGAATTTATTTTGTTCTTATGTTGCTCTCTGCTTTATTGCAGCCTCATTTTTCACCAAGGTATGAAATTATTTCTTGAATCTGCCAATGCCAGTTAAAGTGAAATCAATTCTGCAGTCCCAGTTACCCTAGTTTAGATGATTGTTGCAAAGGCGTTCAGTCATAATGGCTTTGTTATCTTTGTCTTGTTGGGTGCAGTTTGAGAAAAGACAGATGTACAAAACATTGTTTTTTTCCTTAGACTGAAATACCACTGAAAATGTTTGTATCAGTCATCGGCTTGAGCGTTTGTGTTCTGCTCTATAAAAATCACTTGTGTGATTTAGAGATTAACTGAAAAATATATAAACAATTTAAGGATGCAGTTCAACCCATTGCATGAAAAACTGAAGAAAGAAAATGATGATAGAAGACAGAAAATTGAGCGTAACTTTTATCTGATTGTGTTATTGTCCCATCTTCCACACATCAGTGACTTCAAAGTGCACAGATTAATAGAACGTACTGTAGTAAATTGCATCTTCCTAAGCGCATTATATGTTGCCAATTTTCTCGGTGTGTGTGTTGGTGCGAGTGTCAGGTTTCAAGGCAATTTATGGTGGCGGATTTATTACTGGCAAGAATGAAATTCTGGGTGAAGCGGTAGTAGTGGAAGTGTGTGTGTGCATGTGTGTGTGTGTGTGTGTGTGTGCGCACTTGTGGTTGCACATAAAATGAGGCTGCTTGCCAAAAGGGTCTATGAACATAAAATGCATGCTGTGCACGACCTCCCCCTATTCATGTGTTTCAGCAGAGTCCTTGACTGTCTTGATGTTCTGTTCTTGAGTGTTACGGTTGCATACATGAATCACTTGAAGCCTAATAGGTAGTGATTGAAAAGATAATTAATAGTTGGCCCTGATAGGGGAGTTGTCTTTTCAGTGTGCGCGGGAAGGTGAAAGCACTGGTTCAGACAGAGCAGCTTTCCTAGAGCTCGTAGACAATTCAAGGACACTTCAGAAGAGTGGAAGCTGACTGACTGTCCAGGGTCTTCAAAAGCTCTAGATGGCAGAATCATTTGGAAGAAGAAACATGTTTACATGTCGTTATGGTGTTATTTTGTTTCCAGGTAGTGTGATTAATAAGCCGTCTATCTTTTTGGCTCAGTATGAAGTCTGGCGCTCAGCCTTACATCCATTGGAACCCGCAAAGTGACAGGCTGTAGACCGTGGCAGAGGCTGAGGCTTTTCTAACTCATCATGGCTGATCAGGTTTAACCTTGATGTGTCCTCTGGTGCCCTTTTCTAATATTTGACAAAAACGCTGTCTATTATACTACTGTTTGATTTCTGTATGATCTACATCTACTGGAGTCTCTTGGGCTTGTTCCTGATCTGTAGTGTGAATATTGGCTCCCAATACAGTGTCATTATGACACGCCGCCCATGATAATGATACTAATACCATACAGGCAAATTTGTGATATGTAATGTACAATAATTGTCTGTGATGTATCCCAACATCAGGGTTGAGAAAACATATCCCTGGAATAACAAAATAATCTTTCAAAAATCAGGAACTCAGCTCTCCACATACAAGTAGTGTCATTTTAATCCATGTGATGGTAACAACAGAAACATAACAAAAAATGTCAGGGAAAGGATATCATTACTAGCGTGTGCATTATAGTCATCATTGTGCCATCATTCTAACTTAAAACATCCATAAACTTCTATCTGTGCAAATTAAGTTGAACACAAACCTCAAAACAGAAAATCAGAATCAGAATCGGAACCGTTTATTGCCAAGGTATGTATGACGGGTGGTGCATAACATTAAACAATCAACAACAATCAACACAGTGCAAAAAGTAGAAACATGTTAAAATTTACAGTAAAATATAAAATAAAGTGAAATATAAAATAAAGCACAAACAAACAGATAACAGGACTATAAACAAATGAGATGTAAGTGTAATGTAAAAGTGTCAACACATTATAATACACTCACTTCAGCCCCAATCTGTGTGGATGAGGAATCAGCATATCTCTAAAGATTTGTTTAATTATTCTTCTCTTTTGTCATAGTGGAGGAAGATGTAGTTACATGCCACATGACAATATCACACTAGCACATAACAAGTATGGCAAGTAGAAGTGGGCAACATGATGGAATATTTGTAATAATATCATATCACTCAGAGTAAATCGTTTTCTGGTCTTAGACGCTGCATTACGACTTTCTGAAATAATTATGAAATTAACAACTAATGGCCCTGCTTGTTTGAGCATCATATTCAAAAACGTAGTTATCAAATTGTTTCCCATATCTTTTAAAATGCCAGAATTATTCACCCAAATTTTGCCACTTTAATGTGTTTTGATGTATTTAAAACATGTCTTTATATTTCATTTGTGTCTATATTCCTAATAACAACACAGTCACAGTAGTAGTGTGCATGCATGCTCGGCTCAGGCAAGTAATAGTTAAGGTGTCAGCAGAGTTGGCTTCACAGAAACAGGTCACAGTTTGACAAACATTGTCAGGAAATGATCTCTGCTGTGGGAGATAAAGGCACATACACGTGTCTAAATTTATTTTTACACATTCAAACCCATGCTTTATGAATTGTAGCTTCCAGCCATTTGAAAGTCACACTGTGTGAGTGTATATGCAGCTGGCCCAGTCACACTCCATTCACCACCCATCTGTCCATGTCAGACCGGCCGCTTCTCCTCTCCTCCTCTTTTTACTCATTCACTTTTCTCTCTCTCTTTTACACTCACCTTTGGAAAATCACTGGTGAGCCCCGACCAACACAAGCAGTGAGCTGTTGGCATATCCTGTAATCAAGATGGCTCGTGGTTAATTGGCCCATTGGAATATGTCTGCAGAGCTGTTTGCGGGAGAGATGTACGAAGACAGAGAGATGGGGTTTGGCTTTTGAGACGCAATGCTAAAGCTGCACCTGATTTCTGATGTACGCTTGCAGACGGGAGACAAACATGGAGGTGAACAGCTGGCTCAGAGTGGCAGAAGCAATCAACGGAAAGTGATGGTTGATAGATATATGTGAAAAAACAGCCACTGTCGGTCTTAGCCAGCCCTTCAGTCATTATCATGTCAAATGATGACAGCAAATGCAACAGTTTAGGTTAATCTTGCTCAAATAAAGAGTAAACTAGGCCGTAGGATAAACACGACCACACAACGTAGAGGGTTTGCAGGTTAGATATTCATCTGGATATTCTTCCTTTTGCTTTGCATCCCTGCTGTGTTGTGTCATTTTGATGCTCTTTACTGTATCAGTACAAGGTTAATTGGTTGCTCTTCCATGCAGACATGAGCATGAGTGGAGAGTTGAAGTCCAGCCGCTCCAGGGCAGCGAGTAAGAGGGCCAGCAACACCATTTATGGGTGAGTATATAACCCCCACACACACAAACACAAACTCCTGCCCTCACACACTGAGATAATCATGCGTTCTATTATTTGCTGCAACCTTTTATTGGTAACTCAATGGCTGCACCTCAGCATTGCAATCAATGCCGCATTATTCGTTGTTAGCTTCATACCAACTGTGTATGTAAGCTGCTATTGATTTTAGCCAGAGGTGCTGTCTCCATCCCTCAATGTTTTAATCTTTCTGTTGATGTAGTGCACACATATGACTGGAGCTGATTACTGTTTATTGCTGGCAGTTCAATACGGTGCCGTGCTGCTGCACTAACATTAACTGTGTGCTTAGATAGCTGGCAAAGACAATGGACAATTGTTCTGCATAACTGGGACATGTGTTTTCAGCTCCACTATGAATATGGATATTTTTTCATTCCTAGCACCTCCATTTCGTGTCCCTGTGATGGTTCCATGGTAGCATACAGTAGCATGTAGATTTATACGTATTGCAGCATGGGAGATTATGTCCCCAGCATGTCCTTCAAAACCGTTAATCTCTGCCTGCGCTCCCTGCTCCACTCCCTTAAAGATTAAACCCCCAAACGTTATTTGCCCATTCCACCATGTAGTTATTCAACAGCGTGCGGCCATGTATTAATGAGGTTAGTCATACAACACACAGACACACACACACACATATACACATAGTGACTAACCACAAATGGAACACACCTGAGGTAGCAGCGCCGATATAGCCTGAGATGACCTAGACTTAAAGTTGTCTGTCTGTATCCCTTTCAGGGATATGGACACATTCAGTCGACTAAACCAGAGAACTCGTCTAGCCTGTACACACATTACAGAACAGGACTAAAAGTCCCCAGCCATGTTAGTGGCTCTTTGTGGCTGAAAAGTTGTTTGAGAAACACTGTAAAAAGGAAAACTCAAATACAAAACTAAAGACCATCTTGTATTGGGATAACACCAGCCGCGATGCTAAATCCGGACAGGGGTGTAAATTGGGAGGCCATTGGGCCCTTCCCCACTTTCTATCCCCCTACTTCCAGCCCTTTCTCAAACCACAACCATCTTCAAAGGCGGCCTTCATTTTGATGTCCACTACACACCTGTAAGCTTGAACGGTTGCTAACATGCTCACATTGACAATGCTTAAATGCTGATGTTGAGCAGGTATAATGTTCACCATGATTCCCATCTTAGGCTAACATGTTACCATGCGAACGTTTGCTAATCAGCACAATACAGCAAGTACAGCTGAGGCTGATGGATATGTCATTAATATTAATACAATTTTGACCCGATGGTGGCGCTAGATGAAAAGTCAGCGGATCACCAAAGTTATTACCAGTCTTCCTGAGTACAACATGAATGTGTGTACAAAGTTGTATGTCAATCCATCCAATAGTTCTCGAAACATTTCAATAAAAAACACAAACTACAACCTCATGGACGAAGTAGAGGAAAAGTCACGTTATGAGTCATTTGAGTTCATTCTCTGGGTATCATGAATGTCTCGACACCATTTCGTTGCAATCCATTAAAAATTTGCTGAGCTATTTCAGTCTGGACCAAATTGGGCCAGACATTGCCATTCCCAGAGCTATGACGCTAGCATAGCTAAAAACATTCATGTGAACTAATGTGAAGCTGCAAACATATAAAGTGATTAAAATGGTTTTGCCTTCATTTGAAGGCAGCATCTTAATTGTGTTTGAATTCCTTTCCCAGCACAACACTATATAGATTTTGAGTTCTAGGAATTAGCGGAATTATAAGACAAGCCGATCTACAAGATCATATCCCACAAACAGAAACCACATTACAGCTAAAGTCACAAATGTAAATCATGGTGACATAGCCGCCAAAAGTCTCTCTTTCCAGGCTCCAATAATCCTGCTCTGTGTGTCTGGCTGCAGTGTGCCCTGTCTCCTCCCCCCTCCCACTGTTCTCACAGAGCTGGCCAACAAACACTACTGCCTGTGGCCTAGATTACTTTGCGAACAAACTTTCCAGCTCATGTCTAAGACGCTAAAGCAATGTAATCTGCTATGAAACACCATGCGGGTTTCCAGCATTTTATTATTGCTATAAAGTTGGATTATTTAGCCCAAAGGTAACAGTTAAACTTAATAAAAGCTTTTAATTGTACATGTCTTGATGTAGTCAGTCATTTCTTGTCTCCTGATAGCTTGGCACATTTTTTTTCCTTACTCTTCCTCTGCTCCCACTGCCACTCTCACATATGTCTCCTCCCAGGCCATTTGCTCCAGAGCGACCCTGACAACATAGAGTTTTATCATCATTTATCGTCTTTGCTTTCTGACTGTCACAGTTCCCCTCTAGCTTGGCGAGTCCCAGCTGTGAAAGGAGGGATGGGGTAGAGAGAGTGGCAAGCGTTTCACAATCCAGATGCTGCTGCTGCTGCAGCCGTGGCCTCTGTGCGCTCCAGTGCACTACTACAAAAGCTCACTGTACTGTGTGGCCTGTATAAGGAGGCTCAGGTGCCAGAGGAAGGACCCCAGAGGTGTCCATGTGCGTGTATACAGTTATCTAATGATAGCTGTATGGGTTAACCAGGACAAAAGACTGCTGTAGTTAAGCAGTTGTTTAATGTCTCTGCACTGGTGACAGCTGTGGCGGTAAGAATCATGTTTTCATGTTGTACGTACATCCTTCTCATTCTCTTAAAGGCGGTTCCTCAGGTACGCCTGGAGGTAATTTCTTTAAGTGTGGCACAAATGTTTACTTGGACTCAAGGATGAACTGATTATATTTTGTTGATGTTTCTATTCAATTCTCTAACACTGATCATTAGTTTGTGGCTGTTAGGTCTCTGTAGAAGTGTCCGGCCTGTGTTCAGATCATCACAGTGCTACTTTTATTATCTGCTCCATTTTGCATCTCAGTGGAGAGGGGACTGGCCTGAACATCAAGTGGCAGAGCGTACTGAGCATCTGCTCTCTGGTATTTTTGTCTGCTTTCTCCTCTTTTAGTATTCTCTCATCTGTTTTAATTATCAGAAGTACTGGTCATAGAGGAGTTTAAGTTAGGATGGAAACAACACAGCGGCCCATCTGTCATATAGGCTCAAAGAGACTAACAGGAGCAGGAGAGGTGGAGGCATCAGGGTATGAAGTCTGCAGTTGCCAGGAGCAGTGGGAGATTATGTCCTGATGTCTGTTCTGTTTGATAGACAGCGTACCACAATGTAAAGGCTAATTTTATGGCAGATGTTGTAGAAATACAATTCTGGTTAATTACAACTTGGGTCTTTATTTTTATGGTCTTGGCCATCATTTTTATTGGTTATGGTATCATTGTACACACCATGTTTATTGCTATGATAACTAAAAAGAGTTCTCATGGGGCAAGAAGAATGAACAGTCAGGTTCATAGACGATCCTTGTTTCATGAAAATTGGGCCTGTTTTTCCAACACCCAGCTGACAACCACACCGACAAACCAAACTGTAAACATAACCTCTTTGTGTGTAATAAAGACAGAGCTTGTAATATACCTGAATTATCCTTTAAGACTTTTCAGAGGCAGTATGGTAGTATTGAGAATCAGTAAAGCTACACATTGCATAATTATGCAACACATATTTTGTCAGATTTTATGTGTATCTTGCCTGAGGCTCAGCTGGCTGACATCTGTTAAACCACCAGAAGCAATGAAAAAGCAAAGGGCAAATGGAGGCAATCTGCAGTATAGATAGCAATGTTGAAATTCACCCGTTTTTATGCACCGACATTTTTCTGCTGGACTGTGACATCACTCTGATTGTCACAACACAGCAGCTGGCTGCCAGCCGTTATGTCACCTACCGACAGCTAAATCTGTATGCATAACATCCTGATAATCTCTTTAACACATGATGACAGTAATAGATTTTATTTTAAAAAAAGGGAGGGGGGTGCATAATGTGCAGGGCCACAGACTGGGAGATAATAACTCACATTTAGGTAGTGTTAATGGGGAAAAAAATAGCATGTTGTTGCTTGTAAATACACACGACTGGAATATGTAAAATAGATACAACATAGTGCTCGATCTATACCCACCCGCTACCCTTTTCCCAGAGTGGATGTTGGGTTACGGTGATAAACTGTGTACAGGTTGCACCATGAACCATGGTGAACCTGAACCATGCAAGAGTCTAGTGTGAGCTCACGACTGTGTGACTCTCTGAAGGGTGCGATAACCATCCTGCAGGCTACCACATTAATTTCCTTACAGGACATATAAGCAGATGTTCTGTGTTTGACTTGTTTTGACTTCACAATATGCTATTGCAGCATCTATTTGATCTTTTTTAGTGATCAACTAATGAAAGGAAACAAGGCAAAATACCGATTACCTGCTGCAGCATGAGTTTGGTTTTGGTTGTTCATTTGTTTAATATTTAAAAGCACTCCAGTTCACATTGATGAATTTCTCACCATTTAATTTCTCCTCACAAATATCAAGACAGTTCTGCTTGTGTGGACAGAGTTTGAATCCTGTGCGACAGTGTTTTCGCTGTGAAAAGCAACGGCGGAAGTTCTGGCCAGGTCAGACACTATGTGACGAAATAGGTCTGATGATAGAACAAGCTTGGTTTCAAGTCAAATACAGCAAGATTTTCTGTGTTGGATCACATAAATCTATACATTTAAACAACACACCTTCTGAATCTGACAATCCAATCAGCGTGTGCACTGAACACAGGGAGTTACCAGATGTCTGGAGGTGAGAAAGTAGGTCAGATTCAAACTTTAAGATCTTTTTTCTTTTTTCTTTTCTGTGTACAACCGAGTGCCTTTGAGGAGAGACTGTCCATCAATATGTGGCCTTATTTCCAATTGTATATTACATCACATCTCATCCCACCTTCAAGTGTGGTCCTTTGGAACAGCTATAACACTTGCATGTCAACGTTGGGACCATGCGGCAACTTCGGCATCTCAAAAGTGAAGCCAATGCTGAAGTACCATAAACTTGCATTCTTTCCTTTG